GTTTAAGAGCGTTTCCTTTCTTTTTAGTTAAATTTATTCTTCTCTGGCTGAAATTATAGGTTCCCAAGTTTATCACCCCGTGTTTTGTAACCCCCTTTTTCTTAACCCCCTCTCATATAACCCCAAAATCAGATAACCCCACTACAATTTAATCCCTTTTTGAAACCAATTGTTAGAATCAAAGTGAAAGTTACTTGAAAAGGATTCGGAACCATATCGTCGGTAAACATCAAAGCTTTAATTGCGAAAAATTTTGCGAACCAAAATGAGCTAACATGCACGCCGCTAAATGCGTTTTAGATTTGAACAGAAATGACCTTGCCGATAGTCTAGACTTTGATATGAACTTGAAAACGAATCCGAACGACATGATTCAAATTGGTGCATATACAAAAAAAAAGTCCAAAACCATTTGAATTTCTTGACCTTGATCTTTTGGCGCCGACAGAATTGATCTACGCTTTGAAAACTCAAACATGGGCTTAATTAAGATCAAAGAGCCAAATTTGGAAGAATAATTCGGATGACAACCAAAGGTCTCATGGTATAGTGGTTAAAGCGTTAGTCTCAAAATCTAGAGATCAAAGGAGCGAATCCCTGGCGGCACAAAAAATTTTCCATTTTTCCCAAAAAAGTTGAATTTCGGGTAAAAATGATAACGGGTATATCAAGGGTACAAAAAATGGGTTAACCTTACAGGGTTGGGCGGAGGGAAAAGAAAAATCAACATCTTGTAGGTATTTATTATTTTGCCGGTTTCAAATCGACTCTAGCTCAATTTTGAAAAATCAAGGAAAATAATTAAACTTGGAAAAAAATTTATTGCTTGGCAATATAGATTAAATAGCAAAAATTTAACTCAAGTTGGCCATAGCGCAAAAGAAATGCAAATCAGTTTTTTCTTCGTAAACATGCATAATATTCTGTAGCATTTCAGGGTCGCCGAATAAAATAATCCTCTCGTGATCATTTTGCCCACTGTCAAAACTTATAAATTTTTTGAAAAGTTCGGGTTTTTCGAAACTGCTGGTTGCTGGGGAGACTGGTAAGACTTCTTCTCGTTGCTTGCGCGCTCGTTGTGCGGTTCGAACTAAATTTTCTTTGGATGGTAGGGCTAGTTGAGTGGCAATGTTGTCTGTAATTGGCTGAATGGCGGTTGCGACTGCGACGGTTGGGGTGTTACTATCGCTTAGCTCCTTGATGTTTTTCAAAATTAGTCGAGCATCAGGTTTGCCCGTGGAAATATCGTGATTATGTTGACCCCTCGTTTCAATAAAGTTTTCTCCATCCGTAATTGCTGTTGCGCGGCATTTATGGGTTTGGTACTTTGAGCAGTTCCAATTTGTTGTTGTCTTGTTTTTTCGTTTAAGGTAATACTCGTGGCCTGATACCACTAGCATTTGTTTATCTTTCGAAGATAAAGTAAAATGGAATGCGCTTCAAACATTATATCTGGAGTGGTATAACAATGGTTAAAGAAATAGGCAGTATGATTTTTTATAAAACTCACGAACGTCTTTTGTTGCCTTCAATTAGCACCATGTAAGGTTATCTCTGTTTTAAACGCGTGAGTGAGGGATTATTTCTCGAACTAATCGAAATGCAATTACTTTTCAGATGCTAGAGGCATCAAGTGAATTAAGACTAGCTTTTCAGGCCTCAATTAGTAAGCCTAATTGGACTACTCCTGTAACTATAAAAAGGACCTAATTTAAAACAAATTATCGTCATTAAAAGGGGGTTAAATTGTTGTGGGGTTATCATGCTACGGGGTTATGATATAGGGGGTGTAAACAGAGGGAATTAAATATCGTAGGGTTAAAGAGTGGGACACCGAAATTATAAACTGTTTCAACCTTACATTTAATAGTAATTTTTAGTCTCATGATTGGTTAGTTCTAAGTATTTAACAGTGATAGTTATCAAGAATATAATTGGATATTTTAAATACTTGTTTTGAACTGGTTCCAAAAGGGACAATTGACAGCATTTTAAATGGATAGGATTTTTACAAAATTGACAAGTGGAAGTACGGTTGACGTGTTTCGTTTGGATGCGACTACACTAGGATTTTGGTGTTTCTTTAGTATTTAGATATTGCGGAAACTGATCCGTTTGCGGATTGAATAAGGCTACCATGAAAAGCCTCTAAGAGAGTATGTCATTCACCTGGATAGCAAAATTATCCTAGTTCTCTTTCTTAAGGTTCCAGCAAAGGGCCTACGATAAAGTACACAGGAAAACACAAGTTTGCAAGTTCATCCAACGCGAGGGCAGCGCGCCTATGTGCGTTCAAAGTAACTCGCAACAAAATAGGATTGTAACGGTCCGACCCCGCAAACCAAAAAAAATGTAGTCCAGCTCTCCTTCTCCAAAAATTCCAAGTAAGCTTACTTTTCACTTAATTTGACCTCAGGAAATTTAACAGCGTGTCTCGGTTTGGTTTGCGAATAAACGATTGAGAAGCTTATCTTTCTAGACTTTTTAGAGATAGAGTTGAGTCTGTTTGAAACCAATCAAAATAGTAAATTTTAATTCGTGGCACAGCAGTGAACTCAAATAAGACCTTCGTAGTCTATTCAACGAACTAACATAAAGTTTAAAAAAATTATCAGTCTTCTTAATGAAATTCATCATAATATGATGAGTTGAGCAATTCATTTCCCCAAATTGCTACATCTGTTATCTCGACAACTTTTTCAGATGTTCTTAACGCCTGTACGCAGTAGCGTGCCGAGGGGGTGCAGGGGGCGACCACCCCCCTCAATTCTGGTTGCCTAATTTTTCCAAAGGGTCCCTTTTGATATAATTTTACGACATCCATTTTTGATTTACCAACCTAAAAATTTTTCTAAAGGCGCTTTTGGTGGCAATACAAATAGTTTTGTGGGGGAGCGCACGCCGAAAAAAACGCAATTTTGGGACAAAATTTTACAAAAAGTGCCTAAAAACGCTTTTTTTCCTGTTCTTAAACAACTTGCTTGAGGCACAGAAAACTTTTGACAATCTTTGAAAGAACTCGGAAAATCAAATTGGTTGACCTAAAAAAAGATACGCAAAGTTTTCAAATTTTTTTTTCTCAAACTTTAGCAATTCTTGAAAATTTAGTTCATTCTCGGATGATCAAAATTATTCAGGCACTTAAGATCCCACCAAACCATCAATTCGAAGTTTTAAAAAAACATGCAAAATTATCTGCCACATAAAGTGTTTGCAATGCAATTGACACAAAAAAAAATCATATGTTTTTTGCCTTTTTATTTGAAAAACGCTTTCACTCGACCGTTATTGTTTATACGTATGCAAATAGAAATAGTAAAATGCTCTAGTTGGAAATAGGTTAGGATATTTTTCATAAACGGAAAACATCGTAATTAAGTAAAACCAACATGCATAAGCAGGAGGAAAAACGTCACCTGGGTTGAAAGAATCTGATCTTTTTTGGTTTTTTGAAATGATTTGACTTGTTATTGAAAAAAGAAAAAATTTCTTGTATGCAGATGATACTACATCGTCAATTTAAAAAGTAATTCTAAAAAGATTGCACATTTAAGGATGGATTAATGCTGTAAGAAAAAAAGATACATATCAGTTTCTCCTTTGGTGCTGTGACATTTCGGACGAAGACGTTTCAGCCGTTCCAAAATGAGACTTTCACGCCAAAATAAGTGGTATACTTTATCCAAAAAATTTTCGGTCAAAAATATATGAGGAAATAATACACCAATTTCTTCTTTTCATAAAACTGTTGTGTAAACTTTTTTAGATACAAGTTTAATTTAATATTCAAAATCAAGAAACACTAAAAGTGACCGAGCCAAAAGCACATTACTTTTGAATAGCTTATTTGAGCCGAATAAAAATTCAGCAAATTAGATCAAAAATGAAGTGCAACAAATTTTGTCCCACAGAGCGTTTGTTTGTGCACAGTTGATTTTGCGACCAAAAACCAAAAAAACATCAATTTTGGTGTTTTCTTATGAAATCTTTATGATTAGCAATATTATCTTTTGACACAGAGTTACGTAAGAAAAACTTAACATTTGTCATGATGCTGGGAAGCTTTTACCTTGAAAACTTCTGTGCTCAAAAATAGTGGCGTCTAAAAAGCCAAAAAACCTACACCAATTTCGTTTTTTCAGCAAACATTTTTGTTTATTTTTTTTAGATTCAAGGTTATCTTAACATTTGAAATCAAGAATCACTAAAAGTGGCTAAGCAAAAAACAGATCATTTTGAATAACTTATTTTAGCCAAATGAATTCAGCAAATCTTAGCAAAATTCAGCAAAATAGATAAGTAGTTGAAGTCCAAAAAATGTTTTCCCGTAGAATGTTTGTTTGTGCACAAGTGATTTTGCAACCAAACACCAATAAAAATACATCAATTTCTATTTTTTTTTCAAGAAAACGTTATGACTAGCAATTTGATCATCTTTACACAAAATTACGCCGAAAATTTTTTTCATATTTTGTGTGAGGCTTGAAAATTTCTATGCTCGAAAATAGTGGCGACTAAAAAAAATTACGCAAAATTCGGTTTTTTATCGAACTTTTGAAATCATTGTTTTGATGCTTAAAAAGCCTCAAAATCGTCGACAACACAAAAAACTTGATTTAAAAGTAAGAGCTTAGAAACTTAAAATCGTTTTGAAATTTCTGCGTATGATAAGCATCTTCAGCTATTTTTTCTACCCCCCCCCCCCCGCACCTAACAAAAGCATCAATTTTCTGGTGATAAGCTGGCTCTTTCAAGGTCAAGGATGAAGATCAAATATGTTTGTCATGCCCTAATTATTCATAACTCAAGGTATGAAATCGTAGGAATAACTGTTCGTTGTGGAACGTTCAATCGGCACATTTGGCCTGTATAAAATCTATTTTGTCCTAATTCACTTTTATTTCAAGTGAACTGCACGCTGCATCTTGTTTGTAAAATACAGCTTTTAAAAGGAATGGGAGTGAAACTGATAAGAGGATTGCCAATTGGGTTTTCGACAGCTGAACTGCGGTAAGCCTTTCATAATCTTCATCCGACTTCCATGTAAACTCTCATACTCAACTAAATAAGTCATGGCGCACCAGCAAACTCAAATCTAGATTTGTTCTAAATCAGTGCAAAAACTTGAGATAAATTCAGATATGTTAAAAACATTAAAGACAACTGGCTTTTTCCCTCTTTCACCCTATATTTGAAATTCAATTTTGAAAACTATTGTGACAATGTCATAATGCAACGCAATTTGGTATGGTGGACAAAGTATCAGTTGTGAACAGATTTGTTCTTCATAGTTTTTATCCTAGCATCATATTGTTAGCCATAGTAACGCGCAAAACAAGTATGAATATAATAATTTTGATCTGTTGAGTGAGGGGGGGGGGGGGGGGGTTGGAAAAGAGCCGGAGAACTGTATAGATACTCGATTTTTTGGGGAAAAACAAAACTATGAAATCTCTAGGCCCATTTATATATGCGATCTTCATTTTCATTTTTGACACTATCGATTATACAAAAGCCACATACTTAAGCCCAGTGCTAGTGTATGACGCAACAGTTATGCAAAATGGGCTTCCACAGTCTTGGTTGAACTACCGGATCCCTGTGGTTGCAGTTGGACCTCTGAATGGCACGTTGGTTGTTGTGGTGGAGCAGCGACTCGGAGGAACTGGCGACGGGGTTCCCAAGAACATCGCCTACAAGTACTCAGAGGACAACGGAATCACCTGGTACGAAAACAGTTTTTTACATTTTGTACGATATTCTCAGTACATAGAAGAAAAATCGTTGATCGCATCAAAGCTAAACTCTAAGAGTTTCATTGGACTTTGGAAACTTTAAAATTGATTGTGATAATTTTTTCAAAAATTTTCAAAAACATTTTAATCTGCGCTAAAACTCAATGTGAAGTAAGAAAAACATATTTTGTGTCTGGTGTCTAATTATTTAAATATTTTTTTTGCTCCAATTCACATTTGATTGATTTCTGAGACAGAGTAATTGTTCTCTTATTTAATGTATAAACAAAAAACGCCAAAACAGCTAGCATGCCGAATAATCTGTTAAATGTGATAAACTTTTATTTAGAAATTGTTAACGTGGCGAAGTTCGATAAGAAAAACAGCAATCATTTGAATCAAAACTCACACAGTTTCACTGACCTGGGTAAGGATCTGATGAGGATTCTGAGTTGACCGGATCTTTATTCAGGTCGGTGAAACTATGTGAGTTTTGATCCAAAATGATTGCTTTTTTTGTCGGAAAAAAAACAGCGTTAACAATTTCTAAGTACAAAAATTATCACTATTAGTAAATTATTTTGAATGTAAGCTATTTTCGGCATCAACGACAAAAAACGTGAATTTCGAAAAAATCGATTGAGTTTTCACAACGTTCACCGGCTTTTTTAATCAAACTTGAGAACCAGTTTTAACTTAATTTATTCGCTTTATTTCCAGCCAGCGAGAACATCCAATTTAATGTCTTAACAACAAATGGATTTTTTTTGAACTTAAAATAGTCCAAATTAGCCATAAGTTTACTAAACATCAGGCAAAGAAAACTATTTTTTTTACAGTATTTTGAATTCAGGGCATCAAGTTTTTCTGAAAAGTCGAAAATTTATAAAATAACTCAAAAAATATTTAAATTTTTTTTGTAATGCTAGAAATGCTGATTTCTCTAAATGTGTGGTTTATTTGTTTTGTCGTAGTTGATGAGAAATTCACTGTGGTATTAGTGACATAATCTTCCTATAGGACAACAAACTGTTCTAGCTAGCTAATATTCGAAAGCTGCTATATGGATCTTCTTGTTACTAAAATTTTGTTCAATGATTAATAATTTTAATAATTTGAGTAAAATATTTTTTTTGGGAAGCGATTAAGTTCGAATTTATCAAGCTAAGCTTTTTTTGTTAAAGTGAGATACTTTTCGTTTGAAGGAAAACCCATGAAAAACCAAAGAAGGATGTATTTTATAATTTTTCATCTGCTTTACATCAATAATTATAGACTTCATGCTATTTTTTCAACCCTAATTTCACATCTAAACGTTGAAATTGTTGCTTTATAGGAATGATAACCTAATTAAGGCAATTAAGTCCTCAGAATCATCTTTGAAATTACAAAGTTATAAAAATATTTTCAAGAAAGCATGCTTTAGTTGGCAAAAATGTGTCTAACTTGGCAACTACTGCAATTTTTTGGTTGCAATGTTCAATTCGAATTTTATAGGAAATATTATCATTCTTTTTTTTAAAAATCATAAATGAAGTTTTGAATACAACCGTTTTGAATAAAACCGTTTTGAATCCAAAATCTTTAAAAATATTAGATTTCTCACACAGGAAATAATCGATTTTGTAATTTATTAACAAAAGAGTCCAACCTAACAGTCAAGCACGGCCAATTCTAGCAATCACCATTCAACCAAAAAAAAGCTAGGGTTTTTTTTCTTCTTTCACGCTCATAGATGATTAAATTCTCGCAACAAGAGAAAATTTCAATTGGTTTCTTTTTGAGTACCAAGAGGATTGATGAGAATTGTCTAAAATATGTCGTCAGTCAGGTTGATAATTGATTGTTTAATAAGATTTCTCTGAATGTTCTGCAGTTTGTTATTAGTCATGTTTACTTTTTGTTCACACATCCGACAAAAAAGACGCTATAATTTGGCTCGGATTTTTTCTCCAGGTTTATTTCAATTTTTTTACAAGCAATTATGACGGCATATTTGAAAAAAAAAGTGTAAGACTTTGATGACCTCAAATTTCTTACATAACCTGAGAGCGGTTTTCGCAAAGTTATCAGGGTATTGCTAATTACCAGTTTTCTATTAACGCTTAGCGTAAGCGGCATTTTGCGCCGACCCAAAAATCATACAAGATTGAGATGAGGCACCCTTATTCTTTCAACTATTACATTACTACAAAAATGAATCACTTTGTACATTAAACTGAGTGCTCGGGGAATATTTGCCATAAAAAAAAACAAATTGAAAATATAACCGTTTTTTGTATTAAAAAAATACTTCAGATACTTTAACCAGCTGTAGAAACGTCCCGATCTTTGCTTTGACACGAGTAGAAAAATTGCGTCTTAATACAATTTATACATGAAAGCATGCGCATTCTTACAAAAAATGAAAGCATGCGCGTTTTATCTCGCGGCTTAAGAGTTTTTTTTCTGGTTTTCTACATAAAAAACAAGCTCAATTGGGATGCATAACAAACAAGATTGCTCTTATCAGGGTATGCTCTGAAGTTCAATCTGCCCTTCAACTGGTCGCAGATAGTTTTTTGTAAAATAAATGTTCACAAGCAATAGTATTTAGCTGATAATTTAAATGTTAAAATATGAGTCGTTTATGGAATTACAAAAACAATTAGCTTGCCTCAGTTCAATTTGAAATGATTTTCTTGTTCATTTTAATTTGCCACGCATAAATAAGTCATGTTGAACCTCGAGCGTCATGGTATAAACTGAGCACTTTGGACAATTTGGTGTCAGGATAATGGTTTGCTCGCCCGGAGGGGGCCACGCAGATCAAAACATGGGTCGCCCGAGGAGCTAATATATTTTTTAAGAGTAGTCCTAAAATATAGATTCTCTTCAAAAGAAGGAACAAAAAAATTATCATTAATAAATTTAACATATAGATGCACCCAATTGCACCTCAATTTTCATGCAGTTATGACCGTCTTGTAAAAGCATCTCATTTGGTTTTCTAAACATTTTGTATCGAGTTCCGTTAGCATTAGCCTTTCCTGAGTCATTTCTCGTGTTTGTTTTTCAGACCAAATCTACTAGGTCTTGGGCTAAAATGGATCAAAACTGCTCGTATATGAGGGCAAAGCCCTGAATGTTCCGACATCACTTTTACTGGTATGGAATAGTTTTTGATCAAAACATTTTTGATAAACCATAAGTTTCGTAGAGCCAATATCAAATTCAAATACTCGCATTTAAGTAGATTTTGTATGACCAATTATAGTTGACCTCAATTCAATTTGGAGCGATTATGAGTGCTGATAATTAGCCACGCATAATTCATGTTTGCGCATTGACTACCAAATAAGGTATCAAATAACTATTCGAGCACCGATGTCATCCGATTTCAGTCTAGTCAGAAAAGATTTCCAGATCGATACACAAACGCTGTCGAAATTGAAAATTGGTCTCAATTAGAAAAAACCAACCAAGCATATATAATCCTCACTTTGCTCGAAACTCGGAAAAAACCATCCAAATCATATATTTTGACAAGTGGAATATAATTAGATGCAGTATAATAGTCAGTTGAAAATTTTGATTGCATAGTTTAACGGGTTGCTCTCACACGAATCACTTCACGTGTTGATTACTTAGGTCTTCTGTGATGCATATATTTGAGTCACCAGACAGCGGAAACATCTATTTTGGAAACATTATAATTGATTATGAAAAAGGAGCAATTTTTGTTATCTTCACCGCTTGTTCCAAAAATTGTCCGGATAATAAGTGGTCCAATTACGTGAGCAAATCACTAGACGATGGTCAAACATGGTCAAAGCCAGTCAACATCTCATCTCAAATAGGTACTAATTAGTATCAATTTTAGGAACAAAAAGTTCAAATTTGGATCGATTTCAGACGATAATTGATTTTAACAAAATTGTTTACTATGTACAAATTTTTTAAAGCAATTCAAGCCGGAAGTTTTCTTTGCAAAAATTTTTTTGGTCTAAAGCAAAATTTTTTCCCCTAAAGCAAAATTGGAGAAAAAATGAAGTCAGCTTAGATAAATAAATAATCAAAAACCTAATTGAAATATTGGTACCATCAAAAAAATCTGTAGAAAAGAATCATGCTTGATTGACAGGTGCCTTCCAATATCGAGGCGGACCTTCCCTGGGAGTGCAAAAGAAACAACCCCCTCATATTGGACGCCTGATAGCTTGTGGCCACACTGAACCACTTTCAGTAGACGGAGTCTTCTGTTTGTTCAGCGATGATTCCGGTGACTCATGGATACTAGGTGAATCTGTGCTTGGTATCCCTTTTGGTCAGAAAAAAGTAGACGGGGACTATTTGCCTGACGAAGCAACAACTGTTGAACTGCCGAATGGAGACTTAATGGTCAATGCGAGAAACCAGGAATGCTTTCTTTAATTTTCCCATGTCATTATGTAAGCCCGTTCTTACATATGGCCCAATTTTGAGTATCTTTGCGCATTGTTACTAAAACCATATTAGCCACATAACGTGAGACTTTTCATTTGACAGAAAAAAACAACAGAAATTGGACAAATTGCCTGTCGCTGAAGTAATTTGCATGTTTAGTTGTAAGCTATTGAGGCGTTTCAGTTATCTAAACTCGAAGCACCTTCTTTTTTGTAAGTTTATTATTATAATTTGAAAGTTTTTTTTGGAGTTTCCTAAAAATTGCGATTCCCCGAAATTTAACCAAAAGTTACAAAACAGGGAAAACTTGAAATTTTGACCTCTAGTACCACTTTCACTGTCGATGTCGGCTAACGATGGTCTCAAAAGATGGTGGCGAGACTTTTCCGACAGAGTTTGTGCGAGTAAATGAAGATCTTCCTGACTCGGCTTGTTCGGCTGGATTGGCCATGTTTGACGACAAAACAATGCTCTTCACGAACCCAAATAATGAAAATGAAAGGTAGGCGTTCAATTTTTTTCACAAGCATTATTGACTTGATCGCTAAAATTGTTGGGTGAAATGATAGCATGCTTATTTTTCCTTTTGTTGATACCATTTTCAAAATTCGAGAGGGAGCCATGGTCTAGATTGGTGTACAGTCACGCGTAACAAAAGTTTTATTGTTTTCATAAAATTAACAAACATTATCTGACGTTTATGATGTTTCCTGACAGAGAGTAGCGGTTCAAATTTTGACATATGATGGCCAAAAAAGTAGATAAGATTATAGATGGATAACAAACCGATTTAAAAAAATTTTCCAATGCGATGTTTGGCCGTTTTGCTAGAGCATCAGGGTGATCCAAGTGCTAAAAAATCTCAGTAAACAGCAGAAGCAGTATGAAACTTTGAGCTTTAAATTATTCGGTGAAAGCTAAGTAAATAAACTAAGCCCTCATATCGGTTTCCTTTCGCATATAAAAGAAATAAAACAATGTTTCAACTCTTAGACAGAAATTGACTAGAAAATCAGGAATATGCTTGTAAAAATGCCAAAAACTGAGATAATTATTATTTCGTAGCTGAGTAGTTGTTTGTATGCTTCTTATGTTAATGAAAACTTGAATAAATATTTTTGCTGTGTACACTTTTTGAACACAAAAAACACATCTGTGACGCTCTTTAATAAATGACCAATAGAAGCCTTGAAAACAATTTAACATGCATAATGAAATATCAATTGCATGTTTTTTTTGTTTTACCTTACACGTAACTTACCCTTTGCAAAGATGAGTTCAGTAATTAAAAAATATGAATGAACTGTTATATGAATGTAGTTTTAAATGAAAAAATATCGGGCTTTTTGAAGTCAATTTTCAATTTACATAACTGCTCTCAAAATGATGTAATTATTGTCTCGTATCTTATTAATAATACCAAATGACTCGCCTCAATTCAAATTGTAACAATCCATTTAGCCACTACGGGTGTAATAAGAACTTTATAATTTGCGGGTTATTTTACCCTAACTGTCTAAACTAGCTATTTTTAAACCCCTATAACTCCACTAAAAACATATCAAAAACTGACAGGATGAATTATTCCGTCACATTCAAAGCATAAAATTTTCGTAACTATCTTTGAAATTCAGAACAAATGTTGGGCTATTTTTACAGAGGCCTGCTAAAACCTACTGATATCTTCTCTTCCATAAGTAGGAATCTCAGTTCGTATTACACCCGCAGTGGCTAATTGGATTGTTACAAATTGAAATGAGGCAAGCCTTTTGGTATTATTAATAAGATACGAGACAATAACTATATCTTTTTATAGTTTACATAGCGTGTGATTGGACAAAACAAAAAATGGAACTTTCAAATCACATTTTAAACTAAGACGCCAAAAATTAGTTGGCATGGCAAAAACGCAACAAAATGGCATAACCTTCATGTGAAAAAAACAGCAGAGTTTAGTAAATGTTTCATACTATTTTTATCGTTTTTCTCGAAGAGAACGTTGCACGTAACTAGAACAGTTTTTTTTCTCTTATCACAATGCACTACGATGGAAAAATTAAACCAGATAAGGAAAACTGGCCTTTTCAGATCGGATTACATTAATAAGTCAATGAAAGCAATTAATGTTTTTTTTTCAGATCAGGTTGCTCTAATCATTTGCGCTCCGCCTATGTGATTTTTTTGATAAAATTGAAGTAAATTGAAAAAAAAAACTAGAGAAAAGTAAAAATTAGTTTTGCCATTAATTTTATTTATTCACTAATGCTCCGTGGAAGCCAAATGTAGGATTGTACTCAATGAAACCTCACTGCGGGTAGTCGTACTGCAGTAGTGATTACGTCCCGAACTGGTCATGCTCATAATTTAACAATTAAGCCTTACCAGCTTTCATTTGCGTTTTTGCCATGCCAACTTATTTTTGTGTCTCAGTGTTTTTTTAATTGGCCTTAAAGACACTAAGAATTTTTGCGGTTTTCCGCTGATATAAGAGCAGTCTTGTTATCATGAAAACTTATCTAAGCTTTCCTTTTATTTTGTTTTCAACTTTTTCAACAAATTTAGGGTTGATATGACGCTCAGATGGTCAACGGACTTGGGCCATTCATGGAAAAATTCGTTTCTAATATTCCCCGGGATATCAGCCTACTCTTCCGTGACAACAATGCAAAACACCAACTCCAACAACTACACTACAAATATTATTGTCGCCTACGAAAGACAAATTGGACCAGTTTCGACTATAGCCCTGGCTGTTATTGATCCTCATGGAAACTTGGACATATAATTGAAAGACCGAATACTCAAATAACGTACTTAACGGCTCTTTTTCCTTGTGTTCACATTGTTCGATTGCTATGAAAAGTAATATACGGACTAAATAGGTTATCACAAAATATTTGGTCTTCATAAATAACATTGTAAAACCATTCGTTACACCAAAAACTTCAGATTCGTGCAAAGTGGGGGAAGGAAAAAAGAGTCTACTCGACAAATTAGGTTCTTGTATTGAGAATTTTTCATATAAAATAATTTTAAAACGTTAAGAAAGCGAAAAAAACATAAAATTAGTAAAATGAGTAACAAGTCGGCTGCAGTGCTAGTTTTTGTTTGCAGGCTCAAAAGAGCTAGCTTCAAACGCGGCTTTGCCGAAAGATCGCTTGCTAAGCTGCTCTTACATTCGTCACGAGTGTTAGTTTGCAAATGAATTCTTTTTTGATCTATTATCAAAACCTATAGAAATTTATTGACAAGCCTTGAGCTTATTGTCTTAACCAGGGAAACTCAACCGCAGGTTTAGCAATTGCTTCAAATTCATTTGGCAGTTTAATTACGATGGTCTACCCATAATACGCACTTTTCTTTTTTTTTTGTTCTGTCTTTTGAAGAAAATGACTGAATATTTGTGCTCGGTGACTCTTTTCTCACAAAACATGTCAAATTTATCGATACACAAACGCTGTCGAAATTGGAAATTGGTCTCAATTAGAAAAAACCAACCAAGCATATTTAATCCTCACTTTCTTCGAAACTCGGAAAAAGCCATCCAAATTATATATTTTGACAAGTGGAATATAATTAGATGCAGTATAATAGCTAGTTGAAAATTTTGATTGCATAGTTTAACGGGTTGCTCTCACACGAATCACTTCACGTGTTGATTACTTAGGTCTTCTGTGATGCATATATTTGAGTCACCAGGCAGCGGAAACATCTATTTTGGAAACATTATAATTGATTATGAAAAAGGAGCAATTTTTGTTATCTTCACCGCTTGTTCCAAAGATTGTCCGGATAATAAGTGGTCCAATTACGTGAGCAAATCACTAGACGATGGTCAAACATGGTCAAAGCCAGTCAACATCTCATCTCAAATAGGTACTAATTAGTATCAATTTTAGGAACAAAAAGTTCAAATTTGGATCAATTTCAGACGATAATGTCACACACTCAGATCGTGTTTTGTATTCACTTCCTGTCAAAAGAGGGGGACTAGGTGTACGAAATCCAATAGAAGGTTCCAAACTAGCATTTTCCACTTCACGTGAAGCAACCGACTGTCTCGTGAGTTCGATCCTTAACCAAGATGATTTCGACCAAACTCTACACAAAACAAAGATGAGAGAAGCAAGAAAAAATCACGAGGAGAAACAAAATGCTGTGGACAAAGATAAACTCGATGAATTGCTTGCAGTTTTACCAGCAGATCAGAAACGAGCGATCCGGAGAATAATCGACAACAACTGTTCCTTGTGGCTAACTTCGCTGCCCTTGTTGAAAGATAATTTTGATTTGTCAGCCACAGAGTTCAGAGACGCTCTATGTGTCAGGTACAGAAAACCACTCAAACGTTCTTTCTCGAGATGCGATGGATGTCAACAAGATTTTGACTTACAGTATGCACTTTCTTGCAAGAAGGGCGGACTGGTAACACTACGACACAACGAAATAAGAGACGCAGTGGGCGATCTTGCTTCAATTTTGTGGAAAGATGTGAAAAGAGAACCTGTCGTAAAAGAACCAGATATAGAAAATGGAACCCCGGCACTAATTGCAGATCTTTCAGCTCGTGGGGTTTGGGATAGACAGTCGGCTGCGTCGTTCGACATCCGTGTTACAGACACTGACGCTCCGTCTTACGAAAACCGCAATCCCATGAATGTACTGAAAACTGCAGAGATTGAGAAGAAAAATAAGTATGGACCAGCTTGTGAAGAAAAGCACATGTCTTTCACTCCACTTGTCACTTCAATAGATGGTGTTTTGGCACCGGAGTTCACGTTTTTCCTCAAACGACTAGCAGATGGTCTGGCATCAAAATGGGACCGTCCATATAGTCATGTCATGTGCTGGGTGAGATGTAGAATTTCATTCGCTATACTAAGAGCAACCAACATTTGCATCAGAGGCACAAGATCCAAATGGCGATCCCTCGGCGTTGAGGACGGTTACACACTTGGAATGGCATTCTAAAAATTCACACGCTGTTAACTGGGGCTTTCATCGCGCATAACTGACTCCTATGATATTAGAATTTCGACACCATTTGCATAATATTTCGAAGAATATGAGATGTTTGAAGGTAAAAACACAGGATGACAACTGTGAACAAGCAACGAAAAACTTTTCCTTGCACGATTCGAAACCAATTTATTTTGATTTTAGGTTAAATTTACACGATATGGGATTGAAAAAAAAAAAATTTCAGACGATAATTGATTTTAACAAAATTGTTTACTATGTACAAACTTTTTAAAGCAATTCAAGCCGGAAGTTTTCTTTGCAAAAATTTTTTTGGTCTAAAGCAAAATTTTTTCCCCTAAAGCAAAATTGGAGAAAAAATGAAGTCAACTTAGATAAATAAATAATCAAAAACCTAATTGAAATATTGGTACCATCAAAAAAAACTGTAGAAAAGAATCATGCTTGATTGACAGGTGCCTTCCAATATCGAGGCGGACCTTCCCTGGGAGTGCAAAAGAAACAACCCCCTCATATTGGACGCCTGATAGCTTGTGGCCACACTGAACCACTTTCAGTAGACGGAGAAGGAGATTTTTCACCTAATTTGAAGCAAGCTTTGAGCGGTTTGAGCGGTTTTTTTAGACAATTACGCTCAAAATCTTGCTTCAAATTGAGCGGTTTGAGCGGTTTTTGAACGGTTTATCTAAAAAAAACGCTCAAAAACCGCGCAAGATTTGAGCGGTTTGAGCGGTTTTTTTAGACAATTACGCTCAAAATCTTGCTTCAAAATCAAGTATACTTAAAATAGCGGGTGGAGGATTTTAAAAATCAAAAAATCAGCTTCATCATTCTTAAAAACAAATACTAATCCATAGATGATAAAGTAAAAGGCAGTCGGGATATTCAAAGCGTCGATCTTTCATGAGCAGTCTTGTAAGACTAGTTATTTGAATCGTTCTCCCTTGAAGGAAGTGTGTTTATTTGAATTCTGAAAAGCTTAAATCTTTCGCGTCACAGTATAAAATATGCCAACATTTCAAACCGCTTCACCGCAGTAAACATTTTTGGCAAGCATTCGAAGAAGAGCTTGAGAATAGACATTTTTTGAGATAAAAAATGATATGAACTAAATTAGTTATTTCAGCAGCCTATAAAAATTTTGCTGTTGTATTTGAAAAAAAAAATCAAAAAGAAAAGAATTGAAACTGCAAAATTTTGACAGAAAGCGATAGCGTTCAAATTGCAGCAAAACTCGCCATGCTTTGTAATACAGAGTATTAGCGGTGAAACTTGAGGACAAGTCTACTCAGGTCAAGATTGTGATTAGATGACTAGACAATTGCGACAGGTTTTCGTTAATTCACCATAACTTTTTTTTCTTTCAAGAATTTGCAGACTGTTGAGATTTGCCTGCAACCGGCGCGGTTCAGAAAAAGTTAATCCCGTCGGGCGCGACGAAGAAAAATATAACTGATATCAGCTCGACCGAAAAAAAGTAAGCTACACCTGTAGAAGAATGCAGCACCTGTTTCAAAATTTGTTTGTCAAAATATGTAAATTTTTAAATTTGCGTTTTTGCCTCTTGGAAGTTCGAATCTTATTCATTGTGGTAATTAGCCTCCAAAAACCATTAGTTTTAAATTTCAAACATCGTTTTCCGGTCTATTTTTGAGAGCATAGCTTATTAGTACGTAATTTCAGTCAAAAGTGTCGATGCTTCAGGACCAAAATATCGGAGTCTTTTTCAAACTAAACTGCGACTTAGTTTCATGCTGTTCCGTTACTTTTGTTAGATTTTATTTCTTCCATTTTAAATAACTGTCCAGACCATGAAAATTTGGTAGCGGAATTAACATCGCTGCGACAAGCCTCAAAGTAAGTAGCAAGACTCTACCTTTTTTTAAATATTAAAGTTGCCTTGCTTTATTTAGTTGTAAGGTAATTTTTGAGATCCTATGTTTTAAAACCATACCATTCAATTCAGTACATTTTTGATAACTAGGCATTATTGTTCCGGCCATTTGAAAATGGAGAGGAACTTCGTCTTCGGGTGTCTGTTTTTTTATTTTTTGTTTTCCTCGCAAATTCAGCTGCCACAAAGAAACATCTAACTGGATTGAGTCATTCAACAGATTGAATCCGTTTCAGTCGGAATTCCAACGACATGAACAAATTCCCAAAAAAATTTCCCAGTGTCGAGAAAATTAAGTTTTAAATTTTTGATTTTTGCTCTAACTTCAAGCAAATACAATTAGCGTTTAGTCTTACAGTACTTATTTATGCGTAATTATGTCGTGAAAACTTAACTCTACTCAAGTTTTCAGGGCCATTTTGGAAATGAAAAGCTGCGAAAAAATTTTAAGAAATAGCTTGAAAATTTTTAAAATTTTTCTTACGCTTTTTAATTTTTTTTACATTCTGTGGTGTTGTTTTCACAGTAATCGGCTATGCTTGTCTTATAAGAACTTGCATCCCGGAAAAAAACTCCCTGTTTTAAAATTTAAAATACAATTTAATGTATCTTTCAGTCTCAGTTTTAAAACATGTTTCTTTACTTAACAACGAGCTTAAGTCATCAAGACAGTAACCAGACGCCTGTGAGTAGGTTACACATATTTTCACCTTGGCCAGTTTCGGTCAGCCAATAAAAAAGATACAGCTTATCAACTCATTTTGTTCTACCACCTAACGACATTTCGCTTTAACTGGCTCCGCAAACATGCAACTATTGAAAATTTAGCTTTTGTTTCAAAAATTCTTCTCTTGCTTGCAGTTCAGATGAAAAAAGCCTATGCCAAACTGTGATTATTCTGTTCAAGGCATTCAAATGGTACGAGACAGCGACCTCTTAAAACCCAGATCTAGTTAACAATTGCCCTTCCCCCCCTCTTTTTAAGAAAGGGGTGAATTGTTAAAGTGGATTAAAATAACGCATTTTCGACTGATCAGATTGCAGTAAAATTTGAATTTTAAATGAGAAGCTCTAGTGCTATTTACAGCTTTTATTAATAGGGGTGGCAGTTCCTTTGGTATCTAAGTAGATACCAAAGTGAGGGGGTTTTTTTAAGTAGATCTTAAAACCCTACAAAGCCGAAAAGTAAATGTCAGTTTGTTTTTCGTCTTCTGTTCAACATATAAAAATTAAGAATCCGAACCGTGATCGATAGCTACTTGTCTCCCTGCGCTAGAAATAATGAGGTTTTGCCATAAATTTTAAGCCATTTCTTTGTTTGCTTACGACTATATATCTAATATCAAGCTTTCGATCCATTTTTTGAGAAGACGTGTCTTTGCAGCTTCACTGAACTTTACTTGATGCATTACGCTTTAAATTTTTTTCTCATAAGATGGCATAAGCTGTTTTTAATGAAATTCAAAGCATAAGATGTTTTCAATGAAATTTAAAGAAAAAGATGTTTCTAATGAAATTTAAAGCATAAGATATTTTTAATGAAA